TGGGACCGTATGTATTTTCTTGCAAAATTTATTCCATTAATTGACAGTAATCATTTTATTTACAACTTTTTTTTTTTTTCAGTAACAGATAGTCACTAATCAGGTTTGTAATTGGTAAGTTGTGCAACGTGTGCTTTCTTTTTTTTTTTTGGAGTCTTATACATCTTATATAAATCTCCTAACACAAAACAAATGTTTCTGTGTAGGAATGGGTCACTGCAGCATTACTGAAAATTCCCAGGGCGCCTGGACCTATTGCTCTCTGTGAGTAATGGCTGTAGAGGGCTGCGGTCACCACAGGAGAGGAGCCACAGCCTGTTGTCCATATTCATGAGCACATCCTCTACTTTACTGCACTTCTGCTGAAGTTTCCTCTGGAATGTCATTTTAACCTATTTAATGTCTCACTCTAACAAGTCTTTAAAGTGGTTGAAGTGGTTTAGTGACACTCATTGCCTGATTCTCCAGTGTCCTCACAATATAGCACAAGTGGACTATTTTTATGATACTGTTACGGTGATGTTTTGGTGTTTTTTAGTTTTTTTGGACTTTAACAGTCTCTTGTAACTTTGTTTTCATTGCCTTATGAAGAGCAACGTGAACATTCTTAAAAATATCTCCTTTAGGGTTTCACAAAAGAAAGTTTGAGAGTGAATGTCAAAATTTTCAGGTCCTGTTCCTTTAAGTGTGCAGCCAACTTTTTTTTTTTTTTAAAGAAATTAATACTTTTATTGGTTACACTTTATTCCGATAGTCCACTTTAGACATTCTACTAACTATAAGTAACTTTGTAACTACATGTCAACTACATGTCAACTAATTCTCATTAATTTGCAACTACATGTCTACTAACTCTCAGAGTAGACTGTTAGGGTAGGTTTAGGGTTAGTAGAATAAGTTGACAAAGAAAGTGTTAGAAGATATTAAGCAGACAGTCTACTAATACTCTACTAACTGCTAGTTGACATGTAGTTGCAAAGTTACTTACTTTTAATAGAATGTCTAAAGTGGACTATCGAAATAAAGTGTTGCCCTTTTATTTAGCCATTATGCACTAATTTGATCAAAAGCGACAGTAAAGACATTAATAATGTTACAAAAGATTTATATTTCAAATAAATGCTGTTCTTTTAAATGTTCTAATTATCAATTATCTAATTATCCTGAAAAGGTTTTGCAGAGCACAAATGATAATAATAACAAATAGCAGCAAATCAGCATATTAGAATGATTTCTGAAGGATCATGTGACACTGGAGTAATGATGCTGAAAATTCAACTTTGCATCACAGAAATAAATTATATTTTAAAATATATTTAAATAGAAAACAGTATTTTAAATTGTAATAATATTTCACAATGTTAATTTTTGCTGTATTTTTAATCAAATAAATGCAGCCTTGGTGAGCACAAGAGACTCTTTTTAAAAACATTAAAAATCTTGCTGACCCCAAACTTTTGAACGGTATATGTGGAATATTATTGCCAAAAGTATGTGGATACTCGTCTTGAATGTACAGCTTTGCCTGTTGATGTAATTCCAGTGAAAACAAATCTTAAAGCTACACCATGCGTATATTTACATACAGTAGATATCACACACGCTGCTGTTGAATTGACAGCTGGATTTCCTCATTCAGAATTTCATTTTCCTTTCATCAGCCTTAATTTTGTTTCAGAGCACGCTTCTGGTCTATTTTGGGAACCCATTTCTCAACAGCTCGTCTGTGCATGACCACATACAGCTCACCAGAGACCACACATTTCTGCATGCCCAGACCCCCTGCCTGTCCACACACACACACACACGTCTGGTCAGCTATCCTTGTGGGGACTCTCCATAGGCGTAATGGTTTTTCTACTGTACAGACCGTATATTCTATTGCCCTACACCTAAACCTACCCCTCACAGGAAACTTTCTGCATTTTTAGATTTTCAAAAAACTTAATTCTGTATGATTTATAAGCTTTTGTACCCGTGGGGACCACAATTTAGGTCCCCACCGTGACACGAGTCCCCATGAGTCTGTGTGTAGTCAGGTTTAAGTCCCCACCAGGATATATAAACCAGTACACACACACACACACTTTCTGTCATCTGGAATATTTCAAGAGAAAACTTTTTTTTAGCAACTAAAAATATCACTGCAATGACAAGCTGTAGACAATTCTATTGAGAACCGAAACTGTGTTGACATGGCTGCTAGATTCAATCATTTACTTTAAATGGTCCTGCGGTGCGACAAATGCATTTTTAAAAGTAAAAATATTCTATGTAGTCTTTAAATGAATACAAGAGCATGAAAACTGCAAGCATAATTTTATAAAAACAAATTACCAAAAAAGCTGTTTAAAATAGTTTAGATTGAAGCAACACTGCAAGACATGGCACATTGTCATCTATCTATGTATCTATATAGATCACAGGCTGTCAAGTACAGATAATTATATAATTTTATATAATGTAATAGCCTAATAATTATGTACACACACACACACACACACATTTAATAATCATACATTTAAACTCTATGGAAAAGGGCCGCTTTGACATTCTGATAAAACGTTATGCTTGGAGCAAAATGAACAGGCACTAATTATTTTCAGATATATAATACTTCTTTATTTGACTCAATAGGTACACTTGGAAAACAAATCAATTTACACCTGTAGTTGGGACCATGCAAACATCATTCTCATTCTATTCATTTCATTTTTAATATCTCACAATCTCACATACTTTACAAACTGAGAAAATCAAGCAAACATAAAAAGATTAAAGTAGACAAACTGGTCCAGTCAGACCTTTTGGAAGTGTGTATGTACACATGTCCCTTATTTTAACATTTTACAAAACATAAGAACAAACAGAGAAGTACTGTTTGGTATTGCAAAAATGACATCAACCATCGTTTTCAGTCAAATAGCATTCAGCTGTTGCTCCTCTTAGATCGCATTGACTATTATAGTGGTATTTAGTCTAATCAGTAATTAGTAATGATCTTTTGGTCTCCAGTGAGGAAAGATATCTTCCACATGAAGACTTTCAACTGCTTTAGACAGCCATATTGTGATGTGCAGAATAGACAATAAAGCTGCAGGGGGAAACAAGTTTTCAATTTCATCAGAATGGATTAAAACATTACAATTGCTGGTACAGAGTTTTTTTTAATGATGGTCTTAAATATGCCTGGGTTCACTGACCATCAGACACAATAGGAGGAGGAGGAGACCTGTTAGAATTCTGCAAAGTACAATAGTAAGTGATACAGTATGCATTGTGCACAATAAAAGTTTCAGTAGTATGCTACATTGCTGTCACATGACAGTTATTAACTTAGAAACCAAAAAGATTATTTTGCAGTTTATGTTTAATTGTGTGCAAAAATGGTGAAACTTTTGGCAAACCAACAACACAATGAGTCAAGAAGTAGATGTAAAAATTTAAGATTGCACTGATATTGAAATTCTGTTAGATACTGATAAGGCAATAATTATATTCACGTTATGGATGATATTAAAATGCTATACAATTTTACAAAAGTGAATTTGAAGGTGCAGTATGTAATATTGACACCTAATTCAAAGTACTGGAGAGCATTGATTCTCCCGTCCCTCCTCCTCAGACTTGACGCTCACGCGGGTTGCCAGATTGAAGACATGCAACAGGAACGAGCACAATTGACAATTTATCTGTGTTAATTTATCTCTGTTTTAATATGCCTCTGGTCATAGAGATCTTTAGATGGATGTCAAGGCTTTTTAGGTCGGGTAGAATCTGCGATCTCTCTCCCAGTTCGTTTGCTGGCTTCTATGGCTGTAGAACGTTGTTTTTTTCCACCAACTGGCAACCCAGGTTGTCAAAATACTATTACAACAAATGTAGTTTTTGCACTCCCAAAAAGTTTACAATAACGTTTCTATGACTTTCTAAAAAATAAAAAATAAAATATTTAGATTGATTATGTTGGTCAGAAGAAAGTAAAATGTAAAATTTGATGTCACTCCCTCAACATTTACACAGCACTGTTAAGTTTTGTCACTGTTAATTGTTAAAAATCCTTAACATCGGTTAACTGTTTTGGTAAATCGGCAGTGGGCAGAATCACACAGACCAAAACAAAAACAGACATTCTGACACAGAATGCACATTTTAAAGTAGAATAACTGGCTGTAGCATTGTTATAAGTATGTGAACTTAGCATGTTTCTTATACATCTGTAAACATATTATGGTATTTTTTGGCTTTATAGTCAAAAATTACATACAGCACCTTTAAGCATCACAACATTATAACACACAATAGGAAAATGGATATTCATTTTGAGATTTGTAAATTACTACATTTAACAGTGCTAAGGAGCCTTTTTCACATTTCTGTGGTTCTGGTCATCATAATTGGGTAAACTTCTGTAGCGGTGAATGGAAACTACAACAAAAGTATTTTTTGCACTCCAAAAAAAGTCAACAATTATGACTTTCCAAAAAAAAAATATATATATATATATATTGAAAGATTGATTATGTTGGTCAGATAAAGAAAAATGCCAAATTTGATGTCACTCCCTCAACACTTAACCAGTTTTCTAAAATGTAATGGTAATCTACATGTAAAAACCTAGAAAATTAAATGTTAAAAATCCTTAACATCGGCTAACCATTATGGTACCGATATATTGTGCGTACCAACTTAAAGGTGCTGTATGTAGGATTGACACTGAGTGGTTGAACTAGGTATTGCAGTCCAAATTCAAAATATTGGAGAGGGTTTTTTTCACCCGGCCCCTCCTCCTCAGACTTGACGCACACGCAGGTTGCCAGATTGATGACACCAACAGGAACGAGCGCACTTGACGATGAATGAAATTAAATACGCTGTGTTTCCCGCCAACTGGCAACCCGGGGTGCCGAAATACAATTGGGTAAACTGGCAGTGGGCGGGTTTCACAAACCAAAACAAAGGCCGACATTCCGGCCTGAACATAGTCAGAGAGCACAGCATCACCACCTCACCACCTGACTGCTGTAGTCCTCTGTCACCCCAGTTAACGCCACATTTTCCTGCTCTAAGTCTTTTCGTTCGCCATCCTCCTGTTGTTGAATCTGCAATGCTTTCTGTTCCTTCATTCTCCTGCGTTGCTCTCGTTTCCTCTCTCTCTCCTCCTGCCGCTCCTGATGGTGGCAGTACTGCACGCGCCGTGAGAAAATCTCCCGCGCATATTCGTACAACTGCATGTCTAGTGCGTTCAACTCCTCTATGCGCCTCCGTGTAGACGTCCCAACCGTGACCCCGGCCGCCCGGGTCCCGTTAATCTGAGTGAAGGCGGTGATAAAGTGCAAGCCGAACGTCCTCTCAAAAAGGAATTGTGTTTTGCGCTGGAACTCAGTTAGGCCAAAGAAAGCCATGCGAAGCAGGTTGCGTTTGGCGCTGCTGAGGAGCAACTCGGCGCGCCGTTCTTCGCTCATGGAGGACAGGTTGTAGCAGCCCACCAGGCTGAGATCGGCCAGCATGCGAGTCTGCCGGTTGTTGGCCAGGTTTGAGGGGCAGGCCATGAACTCCTCCAGAGACACGCCGGTCCAGTCTTCACTGCTGTAGCAGGCCGGCAGCTCGTCTGGAGTGGGAGGACGTCCGTCACACATGTGTAGCGCTGTCTTCCACGTGGCGCCGCGCTGCACGTGCTTCCATTCGCTCAGGTAGCGCGACACGGGGTCCCGCAACAGCGTTATGTAGTAGAAGTTCCTATGAAGAGAACACAGAAGCTGAGAAATCTAGAAAAAAAACTGCCCTCCAGCATGTCTTTTTTTTCTCATAGAACAACAAAAATGTATCAGTCACCTTTCTGTCATTATATGGAAAAGAGTGGCCAAGATATTCTTTAGAATTAAAATTATGCAAGCCTGTTACATATTTTCATACACTACTGTTCAAAAGTTTGAGGTCAGCAAGATTATTTTTGAAACAAAGAAATTAATACTTTTATTCAGCAAGGATGCATTCAATTGATCAAATGAAGACATTTATAAAACATTTGACTAAAAGTGCCATTCTTTTGAACTTTCTGTTCATAAAAAATTTATTTTAAAAGTATGAGTTTCTACAAAAAAACTGTTTTCAGCATTATTAATAATAAATCAGCACATTATAATGATTTCTGAAGAATCGTGTGAGACTGAAGACTGGAGTAATGATGATGAAAATTCATTTTTGTCACCACAGGAATAAATTGCATTTTAAAATATATTAAAAAAGAAAGTTATTTTATATTGCAATACTATTTCACAATATTATTCACTATTTCACAATATAAGAGTATTTTCTTGTAAAACATACTCATAGAACACCAAAACATAGAAATAATTTTATTGAAAAAAGTATAAATCATAATTTATAATCATAAAATGTGTGTCAAATATAATCTGTAATATATTTAGTTTCAATTAAGTTGACCCTGTATCTTTTTATCAGAGAATCAGAGAAATATAAATTATGACTGTAAATAGACAAAAAATGTAATTAATCTCATGATTTTCCAGCATATAGAAAACAATGATTGACAATTCTGTACATTTTAACATTCATTTTATCACTTAACATTTCCACAGACCCCAAACACTCAATTTTAAAAACCCTTGTTTTAGGATGCTTAAACATTATTTATACATTATTTGCTGGCTTTTTTGATAGGATGAGTAAAAAAACAACAGGGAGAAAGACAGAGGACCAAGACATGACCCAAAGGTCCCCATGAGCACAACAGTGTAGCAGATCAACACACTACCCTCTGTGCCAGCGCTCCGACAATGTGCATTTTACTGAAAAACAAGACAAAAGCACTGATTATAAAAAGTATTTTTGGCAGTGTTCCTCATTAAAATGACCATGCAGGATTTCCTCAGCATTTCTTGTTAATTACACCAGTATAATTTAGTGATAGACGACAGCTAGTGATTCAGACAGAGATGTGGTTGAGGACAGAGGAACATTCGCTCTTAGTTCATGACGACAGCCTGCTTTAACCACATTATATTCACACAGTCTGAATGCAGCAGAGAAACGATACAGGTGATAGAAACTTCTGCCATTAATGCTTCACAGCCTCAAAGAGAAAACAAGTTTCCAAATGATATTTATCAGAAAATGAGAAAACAACCCCAATAAAACATCCAATTTTCTCGCTCGGCAGTGAAATCGCTCAGCGCTCAGAATAGCGTGCTCGTGCTGGAGCGAACGCGTGGTGAGATGTGGTCTGCTCATTGTCACCGAGTTCCTCATCATTTGTCTCATTTCCTCTTGCTGGGATTGTTACCTCCTGCGTGAGGAGCGCATTATTTCCAATCAGTTCAATAAGAGCTGAGTGTGTCTCTACTGACACATGGACACAAGTCATCCACGAGATTACGGAACTCAGAAAAACAGCATTAATTTACATACTATAAGCAAATATTTTCTTATGTGCGCAAGAGATGCGACGTGCAAAAACAAATGCTGAAAATACAGTGTCTTGGGCATGAATTTCATATTTTAGCTTGTAGGGAGCTGTTCAAATTTCTGGGTAAAAGGATACGTTGTCATGCCTGGAAACCCGTCTAAGATCTATTGAGTTTTCTGCCACATCACGGTCAAATTACGGCCCAGAATGTCATACTGGCTATGGCATTATAATGCAGTGAAATCAATAACGCTCCACTACGTTAATCCATCCGCTCTTCAGCACTGACCTATTGGAGAAGCACTGTCAAATGCTAACCCGCTCAATACAGTCAAGCTGAGCAGGATATGATATGATAATGAAGGTCAGATCGCTGATCACAGGCTGCACAGAGGTCAGTCTGTTACTGCATAACACATCCATGAAGCATTCAAAGGGTTTTATAAGTACTCAAAAAAGAACTTATTTCAACTGAAGAAAAGTTTTTGTTGCAATTAAGCCTTTTCAACCAAAATAACCTTTTTAAATGAATTTGGGTTAGTCTTTCAAAACTTTAAATTAATTTAGTTATTCCTAGATGCAATTCAAATCTGAAGGACTGAGCGAGATTCAAACTCATGAACCTCATGAACATGAACCATTCATTAGCATGTTCATTACCTGTGATGGTCCTCTGAAAGAGTCACTGTATTAATACTGTATTAAAAATATGTTTGGAAAATAGATTTCACAAAAATATTAGAATTCAGATCATTATTAACTAAAAGGTTGATTATTATTTATTATATCTACATTAAATGAATAGATGAGTTTCACCATTGGATCCTCTGCAGTGAATGGGTGCCGTCAGATTGAGAGTCCAAACAGCCGAAAAAAACAATAATCCACAAGTAATCCGCACCACTCCAGTCCATCAATTAATGTCTTGTGAAGTGAAAAGATTAATCTGATTTGTGAAAAAGATTTACAGCAGTGGTGTGGATTATTGTGATGTTCTTTTATCAGCTGTTTGGACTCTCATTCTGACGGCACCCATTCACTGCACAGGATCCATTGGTGAGCAAGTGATAAATTATTCCAAATCTGTTCATCTACATCTTGGATAGCCTGAAGATGAGTAAATTTTCAGAAAATGTTCATTTTTGGGTGAACTATTCCTTTAAAATCTCCACATTTCTATCCCCGCAATATAATAGAAGAAATACAGAAATAATGAATTTATTTTAATTAAGTAGAGAAAAAATTCAACTGCATTGGCAGATTATGTTTCATTTGAAAAACAAAAAAAAACATCAGTTTCCACTGGAATATTGCTCTTTGTTTGTAATTGTGAATATAACATGGTCATAAACCAGTTAGTATGACTGCATTAACTGGTTTATGAGGCTGTTATATTCTACACAATCACAAACAAAGAGCAATATCTAGCTGTTGAAAGCTTTATACTGTTGTTTTCACTTCAAGATCAGATCAGGAGAGAAAGCTGAAGGACTCAAATCCAGCATCCCATGAGTAAAACAGCTCTTAATATGTCAAGAGCAACACAAAATCCGCTGCACCACAGCTCAAACCCTGAAAGAGTTTAAAGCAGATCACATCTAGAAAAGTGTATATATTTAAAACAGAAATTTCCATCCATGACTTCTAACTCTAATTTTCAATTATTTTCCAGGCCTTGAAGTTTTGCATGACTGCGGGAACCCTGTAAAAGCATGACTGAGCGAGAAAGACAGATTTCCAATCTATTGCGACAGAGTAAAACCTTCCTCCCTTGACTCCGCACGGAGGTGTGCTAATTAATCTCATGAAATTGTTTTTTAAGCACACCATTTAATTAGTCAGCTCAAAGTCTATTAGTGTTGCTCAGAGGAAGGCAGTCTCTTCTCATTACTGATATACAATCAGTGACAGTAATACTTTCTATCCGGATGACAGTCCAGCAGATTACAGGAATGAATCACTATAATGAACTTCATCAATTCATTGAACATCCACTGATAAACTTACACTTTTTTAAAGTAAACACACATATAGGAGACTGGTGCTAGCTGTCACACATTTAGCTGTGAATATTTCTCAGGGTAGCTTTATTTTTGAATGTCAGTTTCTGTATGTACAGTTCATTGAACACACCGGGGCATGTTGTCACGCGGTGGAGTAGTTTGTTTAATCAGTAAAATTACTATGAAACAAAACAATTCATGCAAAAAATGTAAAGGGTACAAAAATATAAAACTATTTAGTTTGGAGGACAGAATTCACCAAAATAAAAATAAAAAATAAAAAACACTACCTTTCAAAAAGTTGGAGTCAGTAGTTTTGGAAAGTTTTGTTTTTGAAAAAAATTAATACTTATATTTAACAAGGACATTAAATCATTGATCAAAAGTGACAGTAAATACATTAATAATGTTACGAAATATTTTTTTAAATATATAAATTGTTCTTTTAAACTTTCCATTCATTTAATAATTCTGAAAAAAGTATCACACACACACACACACACATATATATATATATACATATTTAATACTGTTTTATATATTTATATATACATAGGCGGAGGGTGAACCAACTCCAGGGTAAGGCTAAAAGCAGCCAAATGTATTAAACATCATAAACCCGTCTTTTTAGCAAGAACCAGACATGGGTGTCATGTAGGCTAAAAAAACAAATGTTTAATGGGATGGAATTGGTATTTAACGTGATTACAATTTAATAAAAATGTTAGAAATTGATAATTATGTAACGTTTCCTTTCCACGGTTTTAAAACAGCCAATAAATTATATATAGAAAGTGAAATTATCACTAACATTGATCAAACATCTATCGCGACTCGTGAGTTTAAGCACTCTCAAAAAAACAAAACTATTGTTATAATCACTGAAGCTGTATACACTGTGAAATTAATCTCTTCCTTACATTGTACGTACATCTGCGCTTTGTTGTTTATGATGAGAGAATTCACAAGAGTCCGGACCCCGGAATTCAGTCAGCGAACGCGCGCGCGCTCAACAAAACTGATGAGTTTCAGCGATGACTCATCTGAACGCTTCTGATTGGCCATTGCATTCCTAAGCTCAACAGATATGTGTGTGATTGGTTAAAATGCGCAACACTGTAAAAACGCCTAAAATGAAATACGGTGCAACATGAGCAGATCTTAATTTAATGCCGCAATCGACACTCTATTCACTATTCATATTCACTTTGTTAGCAACAGACGTAATAGATTTAATTTATTTGTGCAGGGGCATTTTTGTCCAATTCAAGTCCCTGTGGCCAGGGGAAGGCTAAGCTCATACACAC